ATCTATCTATCTATCTACCTACCTACCTACCTACCTACCTATTATCTTATCTATCTCTATCATCTATCTCTCATCTCTCATCTCTCACGTATCATATATATCTCTCTCTCTTTCTCTAATCTATCTCTATCTGTAATCTATTTTAAAGAATAACGTTTTAAAAATGTGTATTGGTTCATTTACCCATGCAAATCCATGTGTATCTCAGTCTTTCCCAAGCTTTGCTTTGGAATGGCCAGTACATTTACTTTGGGAACATGGACCTAGTTAACAGAATTGGGAGGTCAGTTGAAAAAAAACACCTGCCTTTTTGAAAGAGACATCTCCCCCTCAGAGGTCATGTGGAGATGGCATGACTCCTTCCAGGCAATGATTGAAGGCCCACCCCTTGATTATGTTAATCAAATACAGCCCTCTCCCCCACTGATTCAAACCATTTTCATTCAGAGAAAGGAAGGAAGAAGAAAAAGGTTGTTGGGCTGAGCAACTTTCCTTAACGGAGAATCTCCTGAAGATCACAATGAACTTCAGAGACCATGCCTTCGATTACACCTACTTTTACAGTCACCTAATAGTTAAGAAAGAATAACCACAACAACTCAGAAGGTAAAATAATGCTTTATTTCATGGATCAACAAACATTATTGTGCCACACCAGGCTTCTTCTTTACAAAATTTTATAAACAGAGCAAGGGGTTACCTCCTCTGGAGCAGGATCAGCTCAGGCATCCTGGCCTATAAGATTATTGAAACCTGGACCCGTACCATTCACATGGTCTATTTGGCATTTGGCTGGAGGAGTGGATTATCCTGCGGTAGCTTTCTATAGGACTCTTGATGCAGAGTAAACTATGAAAATGGGGGGAAATTCACTGAGTTTCCTGATTTCCCCCCTTGCCTTGTGGTTTGGTTTACTGGTATATCTTCCACCAGGATCTAATTGCTACCAACAGCTAACAATCTCAACCTAAAATAAACCAGAGGCAGAAAAAAAATCCGGGTGAAGTAACATCACCGATTCTCCTGCTGTTTCGGATGTGTGTTTTCTCAACAATATATGTAAAAATGCAGAAAACCTGCACTGACATTCAAGCTGTCAAAAACAGTAGAAAAGGTTTAATTTAGTCTGAATGAACACCTCTAAGGGGCCTTAATAAGCAAACAAGAGTTTTTACATGCACGTAGAACACAAAACGTTAAGAGTAAGAATAGTCCGAGATGCCGGAGCAGAAAGGAACTTGACAAATCTTTGACTTTACATTCCTTTTATACACAACAAAATGAAGTATACAATATTCATATTAGTTGTACGTTGGGTTGGAATAATTTACAGTGGGGAACAGTAGCAGAGCAAAAGAAAAGAGAAGGAGGAGGAAAAGGGGAATTAAAGGAATGAAAACATGGATTGGGGTAGTTTTGAACTGTTTTAATCTTGTCTTCTCTGAACTCTAAGAAAGAAATGACTGTGTTCAAATTTCCAGGGGGGGGGGAGTCAAAGGGGGAAAAAAAAGGCAAACTTGCAATGCCTCAACCCAGATTTTTATCATTACATTAACACAACATACAGATAAGGCAGTCTGTTAGGACTAATTAAAAGCTGGGTAATATTATGAAGGTAACGGTATAAATGACAGAAGCTGTAGCTATTGATAAAAGCAAGAGGAGTAATTCAAGAGAAGCAATTTCCATTTCCAGGAAAGATGTTCACTTGCTGATACAAGACACTCCAAGCACAATTAAGACATGATCTTTTGAGAGTAACTTCTCACATATTCCCAATCCTGCCAACCCGCAACAATAGGAACTAGCAATTTGGGGATATTGTAGGATGACAACCGTCATGCAGCTAACCTTGTCCCTCTAATGAAGGACTTTTTTTTAAAAGCATAAGACAAAATATTGGTTAATATTGGACAATACAAATCCATAAAGCTAAATTGCTGTTGGGAGCATTAAAGAAACAGACGGGAAGAGTTCCAGAATATCTAAAAAAAATTCGTAAACTGGAACTCCTGTGGCTCTCTAGGCTTCAGAGGGGCTTTCTTAAAGCCAGAGCACACTGCAGCAACAAAGTTTTAGTAGGAGCAAGGCTGAAGTGAAAGGGAGCGACAGCTAAAAAAAACTATAGAGAGAGAAATGCCTGTACAGTGTGAGGTTAGTCAAGCTACAGCAGTGTTTTATACAAAGAAAACGCCTGTATAACTGAGCAGTTCCGCAGCAACGCCTAATTTCTTAGAAATGCAGAAGACGACAGGTAAACAACACACAATTCGGTACCCTCGAAAAATAATTGTGCTATAATCTTTATTCCGTGGATGGTTCATTTTATAGGAAACAATGAGATGCTAAATAAGGGACCCCTAACACAGACAGAGGGTGGGCTTTATGCTCATTTCTGGGACTTGCATTTGGTCAATGCAAAGGGTTGCTTTGTGGGCATCTGGGCGAATTTGCCTTCAGAGTTCGGTTTCCCAGTCGAGCCTCTTCAACCAGAAATGGCACGGCGGCCATTTTGTTCATAGGGATCGGTTCTCAACAGCAGCATCTGCTGAGTTCCTCATGCTTAAATATTTTTTCTGTTTGGAAAAGGCAGGAGCTCCGATACCAGCACCAGGACTGTTAATCCATTTTTGCTTTTCTTAAATACATGCTCACACAACGCTCCTTTCATCAGGGGAGGGAAATCGGGAGGATTTAGTTGCATATCTTTTTTTTTGAGAAGCCGCCTTGTGCTTCTTAGCACAAGCCCAGAAAGTTAATCTTCATCCTCGTCTTCTTTCGTGGAAACCACTGGCATTTTGTCCGGCACTTTGAAACATTCCACAAAGAAATTGACAATGGACTTATACAAGTGCTGCTCCAGGGTTGGGCTGTTGAAGTAGTGACCTTCGTCGGGGTAGATCTGCCAAGGAAAAAGTTATGGTTGAGATGGGTCTCACATCTTTGAGGGTGGAAGGATTTCTTCAAAGCCAGAGTGTATCCCCCAAGAAACAAAATGGCTGCCACAACTGCGTGAGTGAGCCGCCTCTTGTTTACATGCCACATGGATAATTAAAAGGGGTGGGAGTCAGAAGTGGGATCCTACCTGCTCCATTTCCGGTTTGGTGATCGTTCGTGCGTGCACCTAACGCACATGCACCTAACACGGACCTAACGTGCATGCGCACAGCTTTCCACACATCAGCTGAGGCCTGCAGCGCCAATCAGCTGAGAGGATAAAGAAGAGAAAAGCGCAGAGGGTGGTGGTGGGAGAGCCGATCCTGCACTTTCCTCTTTTTTCCTCCTCTCAGCTGTTCATTGGAGGCTTTTTTTACTACCGGCTTGGCTGAACCGGTAGCCATGGTGGGAATTCAATAACATAGCAGAGGCCCACAACTTGGATTTTGGGGGGTTTTCATCTGTCCCTGATCAAAGTTGAAGATCATCAATTATTCACAACTATGACTTGGGATGGGATATGTAGAGCAAGGCAGGTTTATATACAAGTAGTTTTCAACTTACTACCTTTCATTTAGTGACAGTTTGAGGTTACAGTGGTGAAAAATTATGACTGTTTTTCACACGACTCTTGCAGCATCTTTGTGGTCAAGCCATCAACATTCAGAGAATTGGGGCCTGGCTCATATTTATGACGATTGGAGTAGCCCAAGATAGTAGTTTTTTTAAAATCATCTTGCTTTTGCTTCCTTTTTCTATTTTTTTTTTCTTTTGCATGAAAATATTTTATATACTTTGTATTCTGAAATATGTTTAAAATGGGCAATTTGTAACACATTTCTTATTAATAAATTGTGTTTCGAATGTGTTATTTAAATAAATAATCCTTCCCCCTGCCCTCCCAAAAAACCAAAATTTAACATGCTAAATTCTTTATGTTGTTTTCTTCTAATCTAATAAAAGCATATGATGAAATTTGCAGTACTTAGTACTATAGTTTGGACAAATTCTCTAAAATAATTAGAGAAAACCATGATCCATGGGAAAAGAGGTGAAAAGCGCCAAGACGGCAAAGTACCAAACTTCATTTTGACATATTCAACTGCATGGAGGCTATATTAAAGCAAAATATATATTTTTAAATTTAATTTCTATTGTCCCTTTATTACTAGGCCAGCTGGTCTAGTAGTTAGTATTACTACTAACCCTAGACCAAACTGGCTTTAAAATCCTGTGAACTATAAACAACATACATGCATAGATACATGCATATATAAACACATGCACACAGAGGAAGAGAGCGAGAGAGAGGGAGAGAGAGAGAGGGAGGGAGAGAGAGAAAGAGAGGGGAAAAAACATTTGTTTTTAAAAAAATGATTACATGACAGCACGGTACCTGCAAACTGTAATTAGCTTTTGTCCTAATTAGATGAGTAATGAACTCCGCAGTGTGCTGGAAGTGAATTTTCTCTGTAAAATAGATTAAGGTAATTAAGTTCCAGGAAGTAAATAACTGAACTACCAAATAACCCAACCCCAAACGAAAATATTTATTGTGACTAAAATAAAGCTTTTATTTATCTTTATTTGAGCAGGGGACTGTCTGTAGGCTTGGTTCATATAAACTTACCATCAGCTGTTGCATGGATGATCAAAAATTTTTGGTCCTTCACTGATGTTACTCGGTGAGAGAGTTTAGTAATCTGAGAAGGGTGAAAGAAATAAATTTCAATATTACAGACACTTTAAAATTCACCACAATCAACATAGCACTTAAGACTGTCTTGCATAAGAATTAGCTTTAAAGAATATTATTGTGCATTTTTCTTTCTGTACTACTGTGCTTTACTGTACTACTCCCTTTTTTCTGATCTGTATACCACCTTTGTGATATTTATAGAAAGCACGATATATTTTATGAAACTATTAAATTGTTATTAAGATAAAATTATGGTATTATACTGTACTATACTGTACTCTGTTCTGGTCTATTTGGTTCTGTTCTACTCTGTTCTGTTCTATTCGGTTCTACTCTGTTCTGTTCTCCTCTATGCTACTTTACTCTATTCTCTTTCTATTCTATTCCCCCTTTTGATGCTTTTAAAGTATCATCTTTTTTATGAAAATATTTATTCTTGTCTTTAAATGAATAAATAAATTATATCAGGAAAAATAAAGATTTTTTTTAAAAAAGAAACATTTGGAAACCCCTTTCTTAATATTATACTTTTAATATTACTATTTTTTGTTGTCATGATTTCAATCCATTGTGATTTTGCACTTTAGGATGTTGTATCTTAAACGAAGTGGAAGGCACAAACAAAGAGAGCTGGTTAATGACTGCAATAAATTAATTTACTATAGTTTTTGTCATTTCTTTCTTGATGTATATTTTAACACCTGAAATAATCAAAAAATGAAATCAAGATCCTGTTTTTTCTGCAGATCAAATATTGATAATTGTAGAATGTAGAATATGATCTGAAGAAAAGCTTACAAAATAAATAAATAAAGAATACATTCTAACTACTGCCATCCCCCTTGTCTACTTGTAAATAGCATTACGCTTAATAAATTAATGTTTATTAAATAACTAAGTAAATAAATCACAGTTAACCTGATTTACCTCATATATCTTATTATTGTCGAACCCTTGCAATCCCAAGTATCTTTCTGAAAAAGCTGAAGCTGAGGGAAGAAAAGAAAAGAATTTAAATTCAAACTACTGATACTAAACTTGGATGGCATTTTCTGTTGTCGGATCTTTGCCTCACAGGTTGAAAATTATGCATATCTGGACAAATTATAAGGCTAAAAATACTCCATAGGCAGGATATTTAAGCAATTTTGGTCAATGGGACAGTTTTCTGGAATTTGGCACATGACTAGGGAAGTCTCAGTCTTGGCATTTTTGGCCTCAAATTTTTTTTCAAGATTTTCCATTTTTTCTTCAGTTATTTTTATTTGTTATATCATCTCAATATCTTGCAGCCATTCCTGGTGGATGGAGCAAGAGGCTTGGACTCCCAGAACTGTGAATAAAGAATTCTGGGTGTTGAAGTACAACACATCCAGAAGGTGACAGACCGAGAGAAACTTTTGAAGAAAAGAATAAGATTAAAGAACAATTAGGAAAGTTCGTTGCACTGGTTTAGCATTAGACCCTTCCTTCCTTCCTTCCTTCCTTCCTTCCTTCCTTCCTTCCTTCCTTCCT